AAAAAATAAAGTAGATCTCTGTAGTTCTCACTCACATCGGTGTTTACATAACAGAGATCAGAGTCTGACTCTGATTTGTGATTGAACCGGATGGAAATCCCAAAGGAGGAGATGGGTCTGTTCCCATCCAAATCGTTCCATGTGGGTTCCTGACTCACCAGGATGTAGTTGAAGTGTGTGTGGTTGCCCCCAGTGCCCAGGTCAGTGTAGAGGGCACGGATGGCTATGCGGTGCTGGGGAGCCACGTCGATGAAGGTCCGGCACACGTATTCTTGCCTTTGGTCAGGCAACTGCACAGGATTCACTATTTCACCTTGGGGACCAAACAGCTGCTTGTCACAGTCTGACAGGGGCAAAGGGAGCAGAAGAGAATGTGATTTAGAGAAGTATCCAGCATCTCCAAGAAAGAAAACATTTAAATTAAACAGAGACAGAGCAGTTTCTCTAAGGATTTTCATCTGGGAACCTCCAAGCATCAGCAAACACCTGTGGAGGGCTTGCCCTTAAAATAAGGGAATAGAGCACAATTAATACTAATTCCAACACTCCCCAAGAGCAGCTTATTAGCTGCTAATAATGAAGCAAGGATTCCATAGATTTCCATAGGCAACCATCATCCATGGAACTCTGGAACACCTTGCCATGGGTGCCTTATTCTAAAGCAATAGCAAAGCTTTCAGTGAGGTACCTTGGTAATATTTTTTAGTTGCAGTTCTGCTGCTGTACTGAAGAATGACCCCGTTTCCTGGCAGCACAACTCGCTGTTTCACAATCAGTGTGTTCGTTCTGGAATTTATCAGGGACAAAGGGAGCTTCCTGCAGCCTGTCCGCCACATCATCCGCCCAGAAAACAGCACTACCTCACCTGGAACGAGGAGCACAGGGACTAGAAACTATTCTACTTCAAGAAAAAGGCACAGTTGATCTCATATAGGTCTGGAATCAAGTAGTTTCTGCATCTTGTCCCTATCTTATCAAAATCTGTCACGAGAACAGTGCAGTTAAGTAATCTATCTGTACTGATTCCAGCAAGAGGGTAAATTAAGAGTCTAACAGGCCAAAACAAGCAACTTCTTTAACCCAATAAACTCCTTTCCTCTCAAATCTATCAACAAAGCAGGTAGGAAACCATTGTGTGAGGGGAAGACAAACATCACCTTCATTTTGCTCCATCTGGCAACAACTCGGCAGGACAGAAAACCTCAGTAAAACAGTTTCACACAACTTCCAAGGCAGCAGGAACCTTTCAGGGCACCAAAGGAGGTGCAGCTTTCCCAAAGGGCCAGGCTGGTTCCCAGCAGCCCCAGGCAGTACCTGCGCTGCAGTTGAGGGAGCTCTCCAGGATCCTGAGTGTGATCTCCTCCCCGAGGGGCCGCCCAATGGCCACGGTGCAGTCGCTGCTCTGCACACCCAACATGTTGATGATCCCAGTGGCATTGAGAAACAGGTTTCCACAGACACCTGGAGAGTGGAGACAGGTGAAAAATACACCCAGAAGGAACTACAGCTGCTGAGAAACAACACCCATTCCCTTCGTGGCACAATGAACCGGTAAATGCACACCTGGGCAAAGCATGGGAAGAGTCACAGAATCACAGTATTCTATCATTTGGAATATCCTGAGTTGGAAGGGACACACCAGGATCAACTGAGTCCAACTCCTGGGCGCACCAGGAATCACACCATGTGCCCGAGAGTGTTGTCCAAATGCTTCTTGAACCTTTGCGCTGCTGTCCCAAGGGCTCCCAAATCAATGCAGTTTTGGAAAGCACAGGGAAGTGAGTTCCTAGCTCAAGATAACATGAGCATTCTACAGCAGCGTATTTTCCCTCCTCACCAGAAGTATTCCCCTCCCATGCTCCTGGTCCCTGTCTGGCAGCAGGGTCACCACAACCCAGCTGCACACAAGAATCACCTTTTGGCAGCGTCCTCCTCACCTCCGCCGGTCTTTGTCTGCTCCCGAGGCACAGCAGACGGAGGCAGGTCCAGGCCCTTGTATCTCTCCTCCCTGCCAGCTGCAGCTGCTGTCAGGTGTGTGGCTGGTGTCACCGGCTGCAGCTCTGCCCCAGGGGACCTGGTCCCCAGCTGCTCAGGACAGGGCCCCGAGGAGCAGCCACGCACCACGATGGCCTTGGGGAAGCGGCGGCAGAAAACGGGGTCCACGTGCCTGCGGGTCTGCGAGTGGAGGCAGAAATCCCGCCGTGTCTGAATGCCATTCCCACAGGAGGCTGAGCACTGCAGAGGAAGAAACCAACAGTCCTTTACCTCTGTGTTCCAGTTGGTATTTATAAATAAATGCACTGACAGGGCATGGTCCTGGCGGGGGGTCTGATGTTTTGCTCGCTGACGCTGTTCTCCCCCTCGCCCTTTTGGTGCTCTTGTTCCGTCAGCTTATAAGAGGCCCCACCTTCCAGGGGGTCTTCCAAATTATATATTTAAATTGCAGAACCGCTTCCTAAAAAATCCAAAACTATCTGCATTCCAGAAGAAAGCATGCCAAGAACCATTTTTAAACTGCAGCCAAAACCTTAGCTGAGAAAGGTGGGAAGCAAACCTACGGCTGCTAAACACGGGGCAGTGGAAAGGATGGAAAACATCCCCAGAAACAGTTCAGCATTTCTGTGGGAAGCAAATACACGAGGCAGTAGTTGTGTTCCTCCCCTGCGTGCTTCAGGGGATGTGAAACTGTTGCATCTGAATGGGGGCAGGTACCTCTGACCACTCGCTGAAGCCCCACTCGTAAGAGCACGTTCTGATGACACAGGGGACACTGGTGGGGGGCTTCTCTGCCACGGGGCACAAATGTTCCTCCTGCAAAACCTCCTTGCCTTGGCGGATCTGCACACAGGTGACCAGCTGCACAGCTAAGCCGAGCCCACAGCTGGAGGAGCAGGGCCCAGCTGGGGTCACCTTCCACCTGACAGGGCACAGAGGAGAAAAAGGAAGTTAGTGATGAATCCCCACCCTCTCTCACTGCAGAAAATGCACTGCAGCTCCCTCATGCTTTGTCCTTCTTCACCCTCTGCCTCACACTCTTTGCTATTTACAGTACTTGGAAGGCAGCCTTTGGAAAAAGGCTGGGCAGCCCAGAGCAGGTTTGGAGCTGGACACAAACAGAAGGCATCTGCATTTTACCAGATTCCAGATACACCCTGAGTCTTACTCTGCATCCATCACAGTCCTCCCCAGGGTGACACACACAGGCTTAACTGCAGAAACAATCTTATCTCCCTCCAAAATGCACACCACTGAACAGTCAGATGGGATCAGACCCAGAGGTCCTGGGAGTGGCAACTTGTAAGAAAAGTTCAGATGGCTGTAGCTTTGCAGTCCCACAGCAAACAGGGCAGGGTGAGTGAGCTCTAGTCCATTTATCAACCCTGAGCACATCCCAGATCACACCATACAAGTTCATGGACAGCCCCTCTTCCCCAGTGCCTGCTCTTGTGGTTCACTTTCACCTTGGAGGTCACAGCTCCAAATTACATGGTTCCTGCTTCTCTGGGTGAGGCAAACCACCACCCTGGGTGTCTGCCACAATCCCTCCTGTCTTCTCTCCTAGTCCCTTGCACAGCAGAGGACTTTATACATCACCCCTCCTGCAAAGGGCCCATTGTGTAATGCCACCTGGAATAATGCAGCCATCAGAGAATATCTCCAGCTGTCACCTGTCTTCACTGGATTTTAAATCAAATCCAATTTTAAATAAATTTTTTAAGTGTACTTCCAGTCTATGATTCTAACTCTATTTAATTCTACCTCCTTTCCTTGATGCTATGTGGAAATGTAGAGCTGGCAAATGTGTCACCACCTTTTGCAATTACGGACTTGTTCCCAACTCCCCAGGGTTATAAGGGATCAAGAGGTTTTCAGTTTTTCCCTGGGCTCAAACTGCAAAGACTTCACTTATTTCTGCCTGAGAATACACCAGCCCAGGAAAGGCTCTCAGTTTGCTGAGTATGGAGCACTGCTACAGTTTCTGCAGCTGGCTGTGCCTTCAAAGAAGGGAAGAGGAAGACGACATCCTCAGAGTAGCCTGACCCTCACTTTACCATGTCTCTGGAGACAGAGAGAGGATGGAAAGACCTCTCACTGGCTCGTTGTCTCCTGATAAACTGCTGTACCTTGGTGGGCAGGGACTGAGATCACAGACTTCCATCCTGCTCTCTGGCTTTGGCACTGGATGACAGTTTTCTTCTTGGGTTTCTTCTTTGGTGTCAAAAGCCACACAAACATACTGCAGCTGAGTCTTACCTAGAAAGGGAAGCAACTTTACTGCAGGCCAGACAGTGTCTGCATGGACAAAACAAGCAAACTCTGCCCAAGCCATAGCACACTTTCTGCACTCATCCCCCCCAACTCTGAAGGACATAGCATTTCCTACAGCACTGAAAGGTCTCACCTCTACCACAGGAGACAGAACACTCTCCAGCTACAGGGCTCCAGACATACACAGTCCGATTTTCCAGTGGGATATGCCCAAGCGACTCCAGAGGCTGAAGCAAGTGTGCATCTTCCTCCTCAGAACAGAGCAGAAAGACTCAGACTGACATTGGCACCTGCTTTCCACATCAGTCCTGATCTAGTGAAGCTGGGGGATACCTCCAGATCAAGCCTACAACATGCCTAAAGCAGTATCTTCCCCATCATTAAATGTAAACCTGGCAGTGGCTCCCCAGCAAAGATTTGGAGCAGTGATCCCATGCTGAGAATCCCCCTTCCCTGCGAGCAATCATCCCTACCATGTCAGAACCCCTCTGTTTGCCAGGGAGGTATTTCCTACTGGGCCAGAGGTTATTTCTGGTTTGGGTTTTGCGAGGAGAAATGAAGGAACACAGTCAACACCTGCTCTAAACAAACCACCACTATGAACTGATGAATCAGCAGCATAATTTAGGAGGGACAAAGCTGTCTAAAAGTGATAGGATGAAGCTTTAACTGGGCAGACTCCCTTGGTGCAAACCACCCTCCCCAGCTCCAGCAGTAAGCTGGTGGTTCTTAACTGGCCTCCTGTGGATCACAAGTGCAAAGCTCCCAGTGAGATTCCTGAAAAAAGCCAAGCCAGTAAACTCACTTTGTCCCATCCTAAAGGGCAGACACTGACCACACAGGGCACAAGGGAGAGGGGCTTTTCCTCTGCTGGGCACAGGCTGTCATCCACCACAGTCTCCAATCCATCACGAAACTGAACACAGGTCAGATTCTGCTGGGCAACTCCAGTTCCACAGACAGCAGAGCATTCATCTCTCTGAGACATCTTCCACCTAAATGGGAAGTAATTGTATCACTCTATTTCCCATGTGGATCATGGAGGTTTATTGAGGCCACTGATTACAGGAATGGGTCGTGCAGAGCATTCAGCAGCTTCTCTGTTTCAAAAGCCCTGTTTGGATGTGATTGAGAAGACAGTTTCAGTCCTTGCACTGACAACTTTCAAGGACTAAAAGCACCTAAGCTGAAGAGCTACAGTTCACAGTGTAATCACTTTTTATTAAACACTAAAATTTCTATGAAGTCAATGTCTGGGCAGACTTGGCTCTTGGTCCTCTGTCCAGAACAATTAACAAAGGCTCTCCTCCTCTTTGTTGGCACAATCTTGGAAGGGATGTGAGAGACATCTTCATCTGGCCATGCCCTCAAAGTATTTTCATTTATTCCCATTCCTTCAGCTGACACTCAGTTACCTCATGGGACCAGGAAAAACAGAATATGGCTTGGAATCTGCTATGCCACTGTAATTAAGAGGAAACTAATTGATACTTCTCTATTTTTTCACCTTCCACAACCCAAGTGAGACTGCAGAGGAAAGGGAAGCAGGAATTCAGCTGAACTCCCAGGAATACTGACCTGTACAGGCACTGCTCCATGGCACAGGGCTTGTGCTCTGGAAGGGGCCGTGGGAGCTCCTGACACCACTGATCCTCTGTGATTTCAGTCTTTGTCTGATCAAAGCAGACATGAACCACTGGTCGTGTCCCTGGGATACAAAAGGAAAAGGAAGGGAAGTTATAAACAAAGTGAACAGTTCACCTCTATTAAGAAGAAGCAGTAATTTTACTTTACTCAATCACCTGTGTAGGAAAATGGCATAACTGGGAATACAGACTTCCTACAAATACACAAACCCCTTCTTTCTGATGTAACTTTTCCTCAAGAGTTTAAAGTGATTTTCCAAGGTGAACACCCCAGAAGATGAGAAGTTTGACGGATAATCCACTGCCAAAATGATAGTTCTAAAGTGGCCATTTGCAAGACCAAGGATATCGACCATAATTTGATCCAAATTACTTCTAATGATCTTGATGTCTGGCTGATGAGGGGCAGGTTGCTGCAAGTAAGCTCTAGCTGCCAGCTGTTTTTAGATGACATTCTGTAGAGCTCACCGTGCAATACCATCACACAGCCTTTGTGCTCAGACAGCACCGTGCCAGCCTCCTCAAAGTGATCATCAACAGCCAGAACCAGACTGAAGGTGCTGGGAGAGAAACTGCAGACTTGCAGTGCCTGTAGCATGCAAGGAATGAAATATTCATAAACTACAGGCCATAAGCAAGATTTTTGACAATAATGAACTGACAAGTAGAGCAGATGAAAAGTCAAACTCAAAAAAGTTCCAAGCAAAGCTGTAAGGAGTCTCCTTTCAGTGAATGAGCTACCCAGAAGGAGAGCCAGGCATTCCTGAATCTCAAACAGCATGACCCTGAGCAGCAAATGTCAAGAATCAATCAGCAATGTTATCTTTTCTCTACCCTCCTTGTTTTCAAATAATGTCTACTGCTAAGGAGGGCCCGAACACCACTTTCAGCTCTCAAGATGTAATTTCAGCTCAGATTCTCAACTTTCTGTTATTTTAAGTCCCAAGTTTCTCATTTTTTTTTTTCTGTTTTGGCTGCATTAGCTCGGAAGCCCTAGAGCATTTTGAGTTCTTTACTTCAGGGTTTCAGCAATCAGTTCACCTGGGGAATTTGCTGCAGAAAAGCTCTCCAGACATAACTAGTTGTATAGATTGACTTCCATAAATATTCATTAATGCATTTTTTAAATCCTTGTCATAGAAGTCTTGAGAGGCCTGCCAGTGTCATCTGAATTATCTGGTAAACAAGATGTCAGACCCTGTATCAGAGTGAGCTGTTACAATCTGCATTATGATTTCTGCAGGGAGACAGAAAGGATTAGCCATGGCACAGGAATAGAATTCTAAGAAGGAAGTTTCATAATTAGCTCTGAGGCTTTAGTTAAACACTGGATACCACTTTGGTCTCAGACTTCTGATGTTTAGCCAACTTCAAATTACAGTCTTCACTGACTTCGAAAAATCTGAGAAAATTATTTAGTCTTAAAACCAAAAATTCAGTTAAAACCTCTTTAAAAATCCCCTTCAAGATCAAACATTTTCAGTATCATTTTGACGATTAAGCTCATTTGCTGATTTGCTAATTGAATTCAAAAGCTGTGCCACTTTCCCCTTTGGTTCAGTTTAACACTTGCAACTGCAGCTCACTTTCAGCAATTTCCTTTTAAATGCAGTTCAGACCAAACTAAAAATCTGCCTAGATCTCCTTTACTAAACAGTAAAGGCTGAGTGCTGCTGTCTCACCTTCCCCACAGGTCACTGAACACGGTCCCTGCTGAGGAATCCACAGATAAGTCAGATTCTCTCTGGGGACAGAGTAGCTGAAGGTGATGTCTGGGTTGGTGGCATTGCCATATTCTTTTGAGTACCTTCTGTAGACCTGGGGGAGGAAAACCTGTGGTCAGTGCACAAGTTAACTCAGATTTGTTTCTCAGGATGGAGGTAAGAGAAGCCAGTCCTTCTTTTTTTCCATCCAATCCTGAGCCCCAGTGCAGTGACTCAGTTCTGGCCCCCTTCCAACTCTGCTACTTTAATTTACCTGTATTTCAATTTCTTCTCGTGTTGGCCCATCCACATGGATTTCCTCCAGGCTTGGCAGGTTGTCCTTGGTGAGGAACACTTTGTATCTGATCTGGTTGTCCTCCAGGACTGACGGGTGGGTGACATTCTGCGAGATTTTTCCTTTTCCAGCAACCACATACTCTCCTTTAACCTTCACAGCTAGAGGAGCAAGAGCAGCAGTGATGTTAAGAGGATCCCCTGGTGCTGGGAGCTACAGGCTGCCCATTTATTAGAAATCAGTTTGACTTAAGTTTGGGATCCCAAGGAGCATGGCTTCTACAACTTCCCACTGGAGAGCATCCCACAAACAAAGTGCAGCATCAGGGATTTTCCTCCCAAATTCCATTTCCTTGTTTGCACAGGCTTGTTTTAGCCCTGTATTCCCATCCCTCCTTCTCCCTCAGCTCACCGAGGTGTGTGAAGAGAGGTCTCCGGTTGGTAACGTGGACAGAGGTGGTGTTGTAGGGCAGGGACAGGAATGTCACATACTCTGGAAAGAGGGGAAAAAAAGAAGATATGGTCACTTGCATCACTAGACTTCTGTTAGGAGGGCTGGGGTTTACAGATCAACCCCTCTTCCATTGGAGGACAACAAAGCTGAAGGGGTTATGTAGCTAATATAAAATAAATAAGATTACAACAGTGATGGCTGTCCTGTGCAGGGCAGGACTTGGACTCTGATGATCCTTGTGGATATTTATGATCCTATGATCTGATATGGCCTCCAGCTCCCAATAATTCCCAAGAACTACATCCAAACCATCACAATTTCTGATCCATATCCAGAGAAGAACTACGACAAAAAAAGGCACTCTGCCTCCACACCAGCCACCTCCCTGCCTTCCCTGTTGGACCACCCAAAGTCCATCTCCATACCCTCCATAAGACAAAATCAAGCAGAAGCAGAAGGAAGAAGTCACAAACAGAAGGTTGTGACCACTGACTACGCACACAAATATGCAGCACACAAACAGCACCGCAGTGTTGAGCCTGAGGGGGAGGACTACACACCTTTAGCTTTTCCTTCCATGTAAGATCCACGCACTTGGGTGCAGGTGGAGTTATCACCCCCACAGACCTTGCAGGAATCCATTATCTTCTCAGAGTCCATCTGGCCGTCACACCCGAATGCCTGAGCAAAGGGGAGAGTCTGTCAGACCTGCCCATTCTGGGAAAACAAGTGAATGAACTCCTGAGTTCCTGAAACTGCCCTCTCCATTTGGAATTGGAATTTAAGAAGATAACAAAGATGCATTTGTACCTACAAGTCAGGGACTGGGAAGTCTTCGCTGAGAGCACCGGTCTCATTGTGCTCTCAGAGGGACATTTTCTTTCCCACAGCAAGCAGCCCAAAAAGATTTCTCCTGTGACCCAAAAGAAAGGCCCTGCACTCCTTCTCTTCTAAGAACTCTTTCTGGAGGTGGGGAAGAAAAAAACAAAACTCCAGGGGAACAGTAAATATGAATGACAGGTTCTAAAGGAATCTTTCGCTCCCCAGGCCCCTAAGCCAAACCTAGATCACATCCTCCAGCCTGGCCTTCAATCCCAGGGAACTCAGAGGAGAGATTCTATCCTCATTTCCACGAACAAGACTAATTTACACAAAGCTGCAGGAGGATCTCAGCAGGCTTAGCAGCAAAACATGTGCAACTGCTGAATTTATGCTAGAGGCACTGATCCCAGGCTTTGGAAGCTGCCACAACATGCATATTTATCACCGTCGCCAATAAAACAGCCCAAATCAGAACAGGTTATGCCTACACCCTCTGCTGTTCATTGGGGGAACCACATCACAAGACAGGGTGAACACGAGGATAATGAGAAAAACATAAAATTTAAAAAGAGTATTCTGGGAATGTAAAGAAACAACAGCAAACATCCACCCAGGTCAGCACCGAGCAGTTACTAAAATGCAGACGGCGCGGGGGAGTTACATTCAAGTTCATCAGCAAAGAATGTCTTTTCTCAGGTCCAATCCAGAAAAAAAAAAGACAGAACACAAAAACAACAAAAGCTATACATCAGTATTCGTTAGTGATACTGCAACATCAATCTGTTGGCTTCAACAGAGTCAGCGTTTTATGGGGCTAATTACACCAGGCAAACTGAGCAGCTAATGATGTGTCCTCCACCAACACATAAACCACTTGCTTCTTGGATTAGGGATGTGTGCTTAATAGATAATTAGCAGAATGCCTTATCTAGAGGGCATTGGATGCACAGACAGAACAGTAGATTTGTTGGACTCCATCCAACACACCAAGAACTAAACTCTCTTCCAAGAAGAGCTTCCTCTGTTGTTTGGGACACCGTGTTTTTTATCCCTGCTCCAAGCAAATTGACTCCTTGGGTGCAGATTACCTGTCAGAGGTTCCCCTGGGTTCCCCAGTCACTTACTCTGCAGCTTCCCATTATGCAGAGATGGAAAGGCCCGTGGTGCTCAGAGTCCTCGTGCTCACACCTGGTTCCATCTGTGAAACTGTCCCCACGGCTCACCATGAATTCCTTCTCAATGGCCCTGCACATGTGCTTGCAGAGCAGGTCCCCTGGAGCAGACAGGCAGAAGGGAGTTACTCTTTCAGCCCAGACAGGTTGTGGACTCCTATCCTTGGAAGTGTTCAAGCCAGGCTGGACAGGGCTTGGAGCAACCCCAGGGCAGGGGTTGGAACGAGATGATCTTTAAGGTCCCTTCCAACCCAAACCGTTCTGGGATTCTGTCATCTGACAGAGTCCCCAGGTTTCATGTGAAAACTAGAAAGCTCAGTGAAACAGTCTTTTAACTTCAAAGTACAGGCATGCTTCTGAGTGCTCCCTGCACAAATAAACTGAGGTTTCACACTTTCCTTACCTTTGGCAAAGCCAACAGCAGAAGTCCAGTTATAAAAGGACGGTGTTTCTACAGTAAGATACAATGGCTTTAAATTTGTTGCTGCACATTGTTCAGCCATAAAGTCCTGCTGGGTAGTCAGACAGGCCTGAATCCCAAAAAGAATTGTGTGGGTAAGGAAAGGAAGTGACTGAGCACAGAATCCCAACCAGCATTTTACCAACTAGCTAAAGGCAAACAACTGCACATAAAGAAAACCACTTTAAAGGGAGGTTACAGGGTATGCAGAGAACTGTGTTTGGGAGCTGGTATCTTTGCTATTTATACAAAATAAGGAAAACAGAAACAATGCAAGAAAGTCCCTCTGAAGAAAACTATCATTAAGTGAGTCACTATTTTCTCAGCATCTGCCCTGCTATGGGGGCACAGAGAAAATGCTTCATTACACGTGAACAATGCTATTAAATGATGCCTTCAGTGGCACAAACAGATGCAGGCTGCACACCAGATCTTTAGCCCTCCTTCCCAGAGCAGTCAGCTGCTGTGTACAGTCAAAAGTTCTCCAGGTGTTCAGAACAAAGCCCAGGTGATGCGATGAGCTCCGTTACCTGGGTGTTGCACATCTCCGCTTGGACGCTGGCACCGCGGCATTCCTGCCCCCCAAAAGCAGGCCTGGGAATGACAGGAGGACTCCTCAGCAGAGGCAGGTTTGTGGCAACCAGAGAGCAAGGCTCAGCCCCTCCAAGGCCCAGCAAACACCCAGGTCCCCCCCTCTCACCTGGGGTTGTTGCAAAACCGCTGCCTCACCACGACTCCGCCGCCGCAGCTGCGGGAGCAGGGGGAGAAGGGGCTCCAGGCTGACCACTGCCCATGGACCACAGCCATGGGGTTCAGTTCTTCCAGAGAGCTGCACTGGCCCTTGGAGCACCACTAGGACCAAGAGCACACAAAACTGGCAGCAGCACCACAGTGAACCCAGCAGGGCTGGGATCTACAAGGGTGGCACAAGTCCCCGTCATTTTGCAGGCAAGTAACAGAGAATCCCCCAGGATAAATCAGGCACCTTCTCACGAGAGGCTGAAGAGTCCCATTCTTAATTAGGGTCTAACTGAGCTTGAGGTTAAAACAAAGAGCAGATAGGTCATTTCAAGTAGAGAGCAAAGTCTCAGAGGAGAGCTCAGACATCAGGCTACAGAACTGCAAAGCAACTCCGGAGATAGAGACAAGGTGGAAACGCCAAGGTGAGGACATAATGGTACCAGTTTATGACTGAAATGTCTGGCCTCAGCTCCCTGGCCAAGGGGCAGCGAGAGCCATGTACCTTCCAGCCACTGATAATGTCTTGCTATCTGAGCTCCAGAGCACCCACACCCACTTCTGTCAGATCAGCAGCCTCCTTACCTTATTGATCCCACACTCCGTTCCATCCAAGAGGGGAACCAGAAGCCGAGTACAGCTGGACTTGTCTGTTGGTTGTACATGGCACGAGAGAACTTTACATATGTCCTGGTGGGACAAGAAATTCAGGGAGTTCGGAGAGTCACTCAGCTAGTTCAGCCATCGACACAGCAAGCCCAAAAGTTTAAATAGTGCCACGTCCCAGGTGTTTGGTTTTCCCACAGCACCAACAATGCAAGTTCAATAATTTCTTCTGCTATTGGGCAAAGTTGTGGGCAAGTCAAAAAGACCATCACTTCCAGCTGTAATGCTGGAAGATGATCAAGTGAAGCACTTACAGTTTCACCCACCTTAGTGCTTCCTCTTTAACAAAACATGTCCAGATGGCAGCTATTAGCCACGCCGTGTTTGTCAGACAAGGGCACTTGAGCCATAGCAGGGAAGCTGAAGGAATCCAGTGAACAGGAGCTCCCCAAGGCAGGACCCTGAGTGGGTGGACCCTGCACTGCCAGGCCAGTTATGTACAACAGCACCCCACTGTGCAAACCTTAAAGGAGATTTATGTGGAGGAAGGAGGTGATGGAGAGAAGGGAAGCATTTTTTAAGCCTTTGAAGGTTTGGCCTTCGCCAAAAAAATCTGTGGCAGAAAAGCACCTTCCATCCCTTTAGAACAAAAAACGTCGCCAGCCCCCTTTTCCCGAACTTTGGCTCCAGAACATTTCCCTGCTGCCCTTAGCAAGACAGACAAACTTTCTACCTACAACATTGCTGTCAGCAAAGGTGCAAGCTGTGGCAACACTCCCAAAGGCTATTTTACATTGCTCATCTGCTCCGTAGTACAAGCCAGGCTTCCATCCAGGGATGCTGCCGTCCATGTCCGGCAGGTCATTCAAGCAGCTTGTTTGGCCTGTACTGATAGAAACATGAGCAATATCACTTTCCCAGCTGTGGGCAGTGAGGACAATGACATGTTTGCAAACTTGGGCTGAGTTTCATTCTGGGAGTTGGCTGCTGCTTTCCCAGACAACACATGCTCGCTGTGGGCTGTGATGGATTTAGCTGCAGCAGCTGCCTGGAGATGCTCACAGCTCCCTGCTGCTGAAGTTATATCCCATTCCTGTTCTGCACCCAGCCAGAACACAGCCTGCAGTGCTTGTCTGAACATAGATGCTCTGATGCTGTAAATAAAACGTCCAGGCTGAGCCAGTGTCTGAGAAATCCAGCACAGCCCAGGCATGTCAGTCACTAACCAAAGTCATTTCCAGCTACATGAAGCAAAAACTGGGTTTAACCTCAGAAAAAAAGCAAACCCCAAGCTTTTCAGTGTTCCTCATTTTTCAGTAATTTTTTTTTTTATTCTTTGACGTTTTCTCTCCTAAGCTCTCAGCAGAGGGAAAAGCAGAACTTGACCATTCCCTTACCTGACAAGGGCCAGGAACTGTTCCCGACTGCACGGTGACCACGTGAGGTCGATGCTGTTGTGGTTTCCTGCTGAACCCATGATGTAACCACTGCTGCTGCACTGATTGCCCTCTCCATCGTGGGAGATTCCAAGGCTGCAACAGAAAGCAGCACAGTGCCCTGAGCAGAAGAAACCCAGAGGCTGGGCTCCCTCAGAGCCTCGCTCCTCTAAGCGAGGACTGAGCTCCCTCTGCAGCCCTTTTTTCCACTGTGGTCACAAAGGTTTTCTCTCCTCTTTGCAGCTTCTAAGGTGTCACAGAACATGCAGGAATGCAAGAAATGCAAGGAACTCTTTCCAAAAGTTTAGAATTATCCCTGGGAAGCTCCCTGTTATGTCAAGAGATCCTTTTCCTTCTTCAGAATCCCTTAAAATGGGGAACATTTTCACTTGAATAAAACCTACTGGGCTGCTCTGGGGCTTTCCTACTGACCTGTGCCCAATCTCATGGGCTATGGTGACTCCAAGGTCAAAGCCAGTGTCCTGGGTAATCACACAGCTCCAGAATGAGGAGCAGACTCCCCCTAACTGGGTCACTCCACGTAACTCCTTGTTCCCATCAGGTAACTCCAGGTCAAACCTAAAATAAGGGAGGCAGGTACAGAGGAAAGAGCAAAGAACCACTCCAGTTAATAAAGTGAGGCACAGACATTCAACTGCATTTCTTTGAGATTTCCTGGTCTAACTCTGCCAATCTTTTTTTTTTGACACATAGAGTTCCCTGGAGCAAGACTGTAGCAATGGGGTCCCACTGCTCAAAATTTATGATGACTCTGCATTAAAAAATCCAGATGTCCTCAGAGGAGCAGAACAGAGTAAAATGACATAATCCTATTTGCAAAAGACAGAGCAGTATCATCATCTCGTTGAAGAAAGAGCACCAAACAAAAGTCCCTGCACTCAAGAAAAGGTTGCATTTGACAAATCAAACCAAGGCAATTTAGAGCAAGGAGCCTGAAAGTCAGATAAAATGTCTGAGCAGGAACAGCACCAGCAATCTTGCACAGAAAACACCAGTGAGTTTTCACTTCCAGTTACTGTTCAACTTTTCTGCCCACAAAAAGCTGCAGTGGGTTTGGCTGTGCTGCTCTGGGAGCACACAATGCCTGCTCCAGCCTGGGGGAATATCCCACTCCCTTCAAAAACTGAAAGAACAGCATCTCTGACCAACTGCATTACACAAAGGGCAGGAGAATCAGCCCCAAACAGCAGAATCAACCCACTGCCAAAGACTCAGTGCGAGTCACTGTCACTGTGGTAAATGCTGAACACCACCAGCCCTGTTCCCAGCCCTGTCCCCAGGGCAGGGTTGCTCCAGGACCTGGTGATGTAGAGGACAATGTCAGCGTGCTGGGGGTCAGAGTCGTTCTGGGGGTTCACCTTCGTGCTCCACTCACAAACGCTGATCAGCGAGGAGGTGATGTTCGTGGTGATGTTCAGCTCTGCCTGGAGGGGAGGCACAAATCTGCACATTCCAAACAGCTTTGAGAAACAGACAGCACCCTGTAACAGTCCTCCCTGCTTACCTCTGGCTCCCTCAAAACCAGCATTTGCATAAGATGAACCCTGAAATGAGCCCCCAGTGAGGCATCCCTGAGCAGCTCTGCTCCCTGGGAAGAGATGGAAAGGGTTCAACACAGAAGGCACCTCAGTGACTCCCACTGTTCCCAAGAACAGGGCTGTACCCACTACAGAGGTAACTATAAAATCACTGGGAAGAAAAACATTAACATATGCACTACAAATGTAAATAAATCTGTCAAGAGATGAGAACTGTTGTTAGACTTGTCAGATACTGCTGAAGCAGAAAGAAGAATCTGCATGGAAAACAGTTTCATAGGGTAGGAGAGTGAATGCTAAAGATTTTTTTTTGCTGTACACACACAGAGAAATGCACAAGCAAATTCTTAATAATAGTACAGGGAGTCATTTAGAAAAACTCTGTAACAGAAATGAATCATTGAAATTAAAATGTAAGATTAGTTCAGTGGATTTAGTTCAATCCCACTGAAAGCAACAGGGACTTAATCAAGGCTCGGGTGATAAAACTCTTTATCTGTTATTCCAATATTTGTAATGAATAGGAGCTATATTTCCTATATAGGTTTTATGGTTATAACTCCAAAACTTCTACCATCCTCTTTTATTCATGCAGCTCCTTGTGGAAGGGAAGTTTCCCAAGGGAAGCAGAGAGGAGTGTCCTGCACATCAGCACTGCTCTGTACCAGGGGCAGGTAACCACAACCCCCTGGAAGGTCCTGCCTGTGACACAGCCTGGGACAGCATTCCAAACAAGAGAGCTACTCACGATGTTCAGGTTGGCAAGAATGTATCGCTCTGTGTCCTCTCTGTGGTATGAGAAAACATCTGGACCGGCCACCACCATCAGCTCCAGATGTTTGACAGCTCCCTCAGCCCTCTTCTGCAGGCGAGGAGGACCCCGCCCTGCTGGACAGCACAAAGGGAGTTCAAAATGCAACACAAACGCTCCCACAGGTTCACTCCTTTTTCCCCAAAGATAGAATAACACAGCTGGAAGCCCAATTCTCACTGGTTTCCCCACTTCTGGGGATTTCTTTCACCTGTCAGCATCCTTAATAACGCACCTGTGCTACCAAAATAACAACTACCCGCATGAAAACACACTGGTTACACCTGTGGGTAGTAACTGTGAGGTGAGAAAAGTTTTCAAGTTTACTCATATATAGTTGTCAATACAGCTCTTTTTCCCTGAGCTCATGCAAGCAACCCCACTACCAGCAGACAGCTTTTCCAAGCAGGGCTTCCTCTCCATGTCCGTTACCTCTTGCTGTCTTTGCCTCTCCTGCAGCACTTCTGAAGAGAATGTGGGGTCTGGAGAAGCCAAGATCCTTGAGCAGAGCCACATCTTTGCTTCTCACTGGCACGATGTGGATCTTTTCCTCATCCACAGCAACAACTCCTTGCTAAAGCAGATAAAATTCCATCTCTGAGTCATCCCAAAGACAACTGCTGTCAGTGGAGAACTGTGGGCCACATCCTCCCTTTGTCAAGTTCAGATCTATTGAGGGGGTGCTTCACAAGTTTGGTGCATGAAGGTGCAAACCTACAGAGGCTGTAACAGCTCATGTAGCAGTTCATACTCACCAGCTGCCCTTCACAGTAAGTGACTCTGCTCGTGGCCCCAGGAGGCTGCAGGGGGTGTCCACCTGCAAAGCAGTTCCCTGGGAATCTCTTCAGGAAGCTAAAGGAGGAGTTCACCACTTGACTGCTCACAAAGGATGGGGAAAGGAGGGCGTGGTCCTCCAGAAATTCAAAGGCAAAGAGCTCTCCCCAGGCCTCGATGGAGCAGCGCTGGATCCCACAGAGCGTCAGCCCAACCTGCTCTTCTTTGCAAGGACAAGTTGGCTCAGCCACAACAAACTCAGGTACTGAAAGAGATCGAACAAGACCGGAACAAGGGGAACAGTTATGAGAAATGATGATACACAGAAAGTCAGTGTAATGGTCATGGTGTCAACAGTCAAGGAATTTCTGTGCTTTCATGTATTCCAAAGTGAGGATAATCTGACTGGGAACTGACAGCAGAAACTGGCTCCTGATTTATTGGTGCTTTTGCTCTCTCAATAAGGAGAACAGTTCATTTAACGAAGACTGGGACTGTTTCACTTCCACAGATGTTAAGTATTAATGAGGGGGAATTATCATAACCCAGAAAGGATGAGCAGTAGGTGAACTCACAAATAGACCATACCCTTCCTTTAGGGATTTGAGACATCAAAACTATTTTTATTCTGAACTATCATCAATCCAGACCTGGAATAATCATCTCTCCATATATTTATTTTAAAAAAAATAATTATCAAATATATTTAAAGTTATCCTTAGTCTAAAGCTTCCCACTCAGAAGACCTGGATCTGTTCCTCTCATAGAAAAACACCAATAGAGAGGATGAGGGCCACAGCAGGAAAGTAGAAAGAGATTTAACATATCTCCTTCAGCAGATTTTCAATTCTGACCCAGTTCTTCAGCCACTCTCACACTGAGGCACTGATTGTCTCTGAGCAATGGGACTCAGAAACACCAACTGCTTGTCAGATCAGGGGTTGTTAATAAGCATTCTTAGTGTTATCAGATACGAAAAAGATTAGAAATTAACTGACAGATGTGTTCTAAAATGAAGGACAGAGCCCTGCATACCATCAGCCACCGAGCTGGTTCCAAAATAGGAAAAAACAGCTTCTGCATCCAGAGCACTGAGGAATTTCTGTAAGGAGAAGAAGAATAGCTTTATGGTTTTTTAAAGAAAAAACAAACGGATACAAGACTATTGCTCACTGAACCTGAGCTGGAAGGAGCTCCAGCCAACAGCTCAACAAGTCCCATCGCCAAGTTCTCATGGCTTTGCTCCGCGCTGAGCACGGGCTGCACAGCAGCCACCCGGGGGGAAACAGCTTTATCTCCGTGATTAGCGAGGCCGGGCGGATTTTGGCTTAGGAACAACGTCGCGTCGCCTCTCCTCCTTTATTATTTTTTCTTAGAAACGCGAAAGCCTTCCTGGAAAGCCGCGTGTTCCGGAGGTTCAGACTCACCTCTCGGGGCCAGCACAGCCCCAGCGGGAGCATCACCAGCGCCCGCACCGCCCAGCCCACCATCATCCTGGAGCGGCCGCGCTGTCCGCGCCGGCCCGGGGACGGGGAGGGCGATTTTTGGCCCGGAGCATCACGTGGAGCGGAAGGGGAGAGCAAACAGGGCTTGGAGCAAACAAACAGCGCTGGAGCGGGGCCCCAGCGCGGCGGGGGCGCGGGGGGCCGGGGCCGCCGAGGCTGCTGGAGCCCGCCCGCCCTTGCGCAATGCCCGCGGCTTCCCGAGGGTGCACGCCAGCCCCATCAGTCCAGCCAGGGGCGGCTCGGGGGCTCCGTGTCCCTGTGGATACACCCATGGGGCGGTGGAGGGGGTGTCTCTCCACGGCCCCCACCCCGCACGGCACTCCTCGCCCCCGGAACCCAAGCGCGGGACGGCGTTCCTCGCCGGGGCGGTGCAGCGCTGTGCCGGTCCCCCAGTGGGAGGTGCGGCCCGGTTGGGACCCGCTGCCCCACGATCCCCATCCCGATCCCAAATCCTGATCCCGCCCCTGTGCCCCCCGCATGGCGAAGCCGAGCCCCGCGGAGCCCCAGGCGCCGGAGCCGAGCGCCGCGGCCCGGGGGAAGGGCAAGAGGAAGAGGAGGAGGAGGAGGAGGAGGAAGGGCGGCGGGGAAGCCGCGCCGAAAAGCCCCGGGATGGCGGCGGCGCGGCCCCCCCGAGACCCCCAGGAGTTCTCGTCCAACTGGAAGGCGCTGCAGGAGGTGAGGGGAGCGGGGGAGGCGCGGACGAGAGCCGGAGCCGTCCCCGGGGGTTGGGAGGGAGAACCGCCGGGGCCATGCGGGCAGTCCCCGAACGCAGCACCGCGGGGTAATTGATAATAATCATCATCTCTGTGTCGGTAAATAAAGGGATGCGCGCCGATAGTTGGGACGCCCCGTTGTAGGTAATTCCCCCTAAAGCGATCTGGAAAGTCCAAGAGTCCTGTGGAGAGTGAAATAATCACAGAATCGTGGAATGGTTTGGGTTGGAAGGGAACTTAAAAGTCCACCCACCCCCTGCCATGGGCAGGGACACCTTCCACCAGCCCATGTTGCTCCAAGCCCTGTCCAACCTGGCCTTGGACTCTTCCAGAGATGGGGCAGCCACAGCTTCTCTGGGCAACCTGTGCCAGGGCCTCACCACCCTGCCAGAGAAAAATTTCTTCCTATTCTTCCAACCCTGCCTCTATTTGAAGCCATTACCCCTTTTCCTGTCACTCCAGGCCCTTGTAAATAGTCTCTCCCCATCTTTCTTGAAGGCTCCTTTCAGATGCTGAAATTAGGTCACCCCAAAGCTGCTCTTTTCCAGGCTCTTTCCCTTTATCGGTTTTTTTTTTCCTTTTTATCATTTTAGCTACTGAAACAAAAGACAAATGGCTCCAACAAGTCCCTCTCTACGTGTCAAAATGACACCAAAAAGAAGCAGCCAGTCCAAGCAGCCAAAAGCCCAGAAGTCTCAACTCTCAATGGGAATGTGGGAAAAGCCAAACCCAGAAAGAAAACAAACAGTGGTTCTGCTAAGGAGAGTCCTCCCTTGGCTAAGCCAAAACCCAAGGGGGTTGCAGTGAGCAAGAATTTAAATGGCACCAAAAGCACTGGAAAAGGCTGCAAAGACAAAAGGAAAAATGGCAATGTTGTGACGGAGAAGGATGATTTAAAACATAAGAGGAGGAAAGCTGAGGAACACGTGGAGCAGCAGCAGCCCAAGGAGTGAGTACTTCAGGCATCACCCCTGGATGGGAATATTCATTTTGGGATGCTTAAGTAAGAAGCACAGGGAGGTACATTCAAAACAGCTGCACTCTTTAAATTTTGGGAGAAATAAGGCCCATGTTGCCCCTGCTCCTCAGATATAGCAAAAAACCTGCAGAATTGACAGCACTAGACCTAATTTTCAGGGTTTATTTCTCAATTTAAGAAATAAACTGGCTTGTTGTACACCAGACAGACACCAGACTGCTTTAAGGCCATAAATGTAATTAAATCTATTCTTGCCAGGGCTGACATCTGGTTTGATGACGTTGACCCCAAAGACATTGAGGCAGCAATAGGACCTGAAGCAGCAAAAATTGCCAGAAGAAACCTGGGACTTGAAGCAGGCCCATCCAAAGAGTCTGTGGAACAGGTGCTGGTCAAGGAAAATGCTTCTGATGGGTGAGTGACATTCCAGGGGGAAGGATGGCAGCAGAGGCATTGAGAGGGGCTGCTAATAACTGGTCTGCAGGGGGACAGTGTGGGCTGACATCTCCCTGCCTCTGCTGACTGACCTTTCTCCCTGTTGGATCAACACGTGAACCTCGTGAGCTGCACCCAGAGGTGTCACCGAGCTGTCCTTTGTCTTGCAGGCTGACAAGAGCTGTGGCCATGGACTGTGAGATGGTGGGGGTGGGCCCCAAGGGGGAGGACAGCATCGTGGCTCGGGTGTCCATCGTGAACCAGTTTGGGAAGTGCATTTATGACAAGTATGTCAAGCCCACGGAAAAGGTGACTGACTACAGGACAGCTGTCAGTGGCATACGCCCTGAGAACATAAATGCAGGTAGGAGGGGGTGTTCCCCCAGAATGTTCTTCAAGGGGGGGGGGGAAATTTGAAGACTGACTGGCTGAGCTTGGAACAGTTTTAGACCTATTTTGGGAAAACGAAATGCTAAGATTTATGTTAATGCTAAGAAAAATGGTGGGGAGAAGCACTTTTTTACAGAGTTATCACTCTTGCCCTTGCAGAAATGAACTGGTGGATTATGGAATGGGGAATAAGAAAAATTATCTCCTTTTCTTGCTCTGCTCTTTATGGAATTCTCTAATGAGCAGAGGATTTAGTGGACTGTACAATTTGCATAACTACAGTCCCAGGGACACAACTACTTTTACAGAAAAGATGCAACATTTTAATTGTAGTTTGCTCGTGGAAAGCGTTCCCTTGTGTGGCATTTTTAGGTGAAGACTTTAAAACTGTTCAGAAGGAGGTTGCTGACATCCTGAAGGGGAGGATTTTGGTTGGACATGCTTTAAAGAATGATCTGAAGGTATGTGGCTGCCCACTTGAGATTGATTAAACTTCTGACACACCTGAACTCCTGCAAACTGCAGCTCTATCGCTGATCTCTCAGTGATAAAGCACCAATTACAGCCCCAATCACTTGCCCACTGAAGTTCTTCAGCTTCCAAACTCTGTTGCTGATAGAGAGCCAGGAGGGAAACAGAATGAGGGAAAAGTTCTGTGCATGCTTTTCTTAATCCCCAGAGCCCAGCAGTGTGGTCATAGTTACCTGAGACAGGTACCTGATGTCCTGCTGTGCCAGCACTGCAGGTGGTCTCTGCAGGCACCTCCAGCTTCATCTCTGCTTCTCACACCAAGTAGAACTGTGAATCCTGAATCCAGCCAGTGTCTGCATCATCTTGGTCTTGTCCTTTCATGGTTTTGAAGTATCCCTGAGATGGGAACAGCAGGCAACTGGACATCCAGCTGTAAGAAGTTTCGTGCCACAGCACGTTTTGGACTGGAAATGTGATTTCTTCTAGGTCCTGTTTCTTGATCACCCTCAGAAGAAGATAAGAGACACACAGAGATATAAACCCTTCAAACAGAGAGTGAAGGTAAGAGACTGATGGGAAAGTGCACCTCAGTTAACTGACTCTGGAGCTGCTGGCTCACTCCTGTGCCTCCACCTGACCCTGTTCCTTCTTTCCTGCCTGGAACAGGGATGCCTCATTTTTGGCACTTGAAAATACCAGTCTAGTCCAATGCTTACTTGGTGTCCGAAATACCTCCATAAGTTACTTAGTTCAGTGCTCACATTCTCAGTAACACCTGTGCACGAAATTCCATGGCTTTCCCATTTTTAGCACTTTCATGGGCTTCGTAACACTTTTCTGGGCAGCAAAATAAGATGGTAGAGTTCTACTTAGAGCAAAGCTGATGCAATCTTCTTAATGGTTTCACTTCCATAGGGATATAAAAATATAGGTGGCTTCAAGTTTCTGCTTAGAATGCAGGAGTAAAGGTTGAGAATATTGGGAGGCATTTAAAGTTCTGTAACTAGATATTCAGGAGGTTTTTTTCCACAGCTAAGCACCCCAAACATAAATCTTGGGATTATGGTAGTACACAAAGAATCCTCTCAGCAGTGCATGCATAAATCTCATGTTTCAATAATTATTCTTGGTATTTCAGCAATAAGCCAAGATGCGCTATTCTTTGAGGAATACACTTGAATAAATATTTATATACATATATATATATACACACACACATCTCTATATTTCAGGTGGTGAGAGGCAGCATGACTATGATCTTTTCTGTTTCTAGAGTTCAAGGCCATCCCTGAAGCTGCTCTGTGAGACCCTGCTCAATGTTAAGGTGCAGACATCAGAGCACTGCTCGGTAGGTACCTCATCAGAATATACATTTTTGGGTACCACACATTAGCTCTGGGATCTGGGTTCAATCCAGAATGCTCTGCCATCATTCCAGCCAAAAAAACAGCAAGCTCTGCTTGAACACCAGCAGCAGTGGGATTGTCATCTAAGCTCACTTACTGTTAAGTTTCCTTATTTTCATAAACAGCTTTTGCACAAATCACCTGTATTTTGATTAAAAATATTAATCCTTGCTATTTTAAAGTCTCCAGAGAAAAGAAGTAATGATCAAATATCAACTGCTTGCTTACCTTAAAAGCAGCATTCTGCACCCTTGTACTGTGAGGGGATGGATAAACAGTGTGAGAGGCTCCACCTGAACCTCAGCAGTTGGTTCCTTTCTTTCAGTGGACAGGAGGATATAAGAGGAATTAATTGGGAGAGCAGGGCAGATTGGGAGGGTATTTCTAAGATAATTTATCAAGAGAGTTTTCTCATTATGACTTTCCAAGTGACAGTCAGAAAGAAGGACAGAGCCTTGTGGTGGGCCACACATTCTGAATAGTCACAGAGCCTAAATCTAAAAGCAGATAAATATTAATATAAATTATATGGAAGATTTATCTGCTTATTACCACACATCCCTGAAAGTGTTCAAGGCCAGGCTGGACAAGGCTTGGAGCAACCTGGGATAGTGGAAGGTGTCCCTGCCCACAACAGGGGGTGGAACAAGAGGAGCTTGAAGGTCCCTTCCAACCCAAACCACTCTCTGATTCCATGATTATTAACAATAATGTTCTTAAGCAGCTGTGTTTCATTAGGCTCCTGTTTGTTCTGTTCTCT